CAAAAACATAGAATGACATATGTTAAACCCCTAAACAACATGCATCAACTTCCCACAAAAAACCCTTATAGAACTCTATTTCTTCATACAGAACCCCATGAATATCAAATCTCATAGTTTCATAGTGCTTAGGGTCAGAAGGGACCTAAACAGATCATCAAGGCCAACCCCCTTCCTCAGGAGGCTTTCATGCATTTCTTGCTGAAGTCAGTGAGAAGTGCTACATGCCAACTGACCTTCCTCAGACCAGAAATGAGTTTTGATGGGAGAGCCTTGGTGTGGATTTTTTGTGGGGGTGTTATTTAATTTTCATTTTTAATTTTTTATCTCCATTCTTTCAATGCACTCTTCAGTTGCAGGATTTCTCTTCTCTTCTTGTTGCTTTAGAAGAATCTCATCTCCACACGTCATTAAGAAATCTGCTTGTAAGTCTGCTCCTAGGGATCCACTAAACCTACATTTTGTGCCTCTAATGAGGCTTTAGAGATTGATCACCAAGACCTTGACTCTGAACTATCCTAATCAGCATATTTCTTTCATAGTGTACTATAATGGACCAGTCAAGGAAGGGCAGGGCTGGCAGCTGCTACATGATTCAAAACTGAAAAAACAAACTGGGAAACCCTGCCAGTCCCCCAAAAGCAAACCTAGCAAGCATCATCATCATCAATATGCCTTAACACTTGTTGTTAAGGCTAGAAATATGAGTGCAACATAGTTGTTTATTATGAGCACTCACAAGAAGACGTGAACAGAAAAAGAGGGAAGCCTGGAAAAAAAAAATCAGCCCAGCCTGAGGAGTTAGCTTGGCCATAATAAAAGTGTGAATAGTATTCTGATGCCAGAAACTGCATAGACACCAACTGTCTCTTCCCTTCTTTTGGGTTGAATTTTTAATGCTAGATGAATTTGGTGCTTGTGTGAATAAGCAGCTTAGTTTCTGTTTAAACAATAAATTGTGCCTTGAGGCACAAGGACAGATTCTTGCATGATATCAATCCTTTCTCAACTGGTAAGAGGGACTCTGAGGTCACAACAACCACAATTCTGCTCAAACTGAGTTCTATGCTGCATTTGCTACAAGCACCAGGATCTCACTCTGGCTTTTTTAAGAATCCTATCTGCATACTTCTAAAACCGTGTTTTGTGCCGTTGAAGGCTCTGCCTCTGTATTATGTGCCCAATTTTCCTTTTGCTTACACTAATTTATGTACATAACAGCACCCCAGCCTCCAAAAGACCATTCCAGTAAAACACAGCACTTGTAGGGCCATCATTCTATTCATACTTCTACTCCTGAATTAAGGGCATCTGACTCCCTTGAGACCAGTGCCTCACCACTGTGTTTCCCTTTGTCCTTGCACATAGCCTATATTATAACATTGAGGTACTGCAGGGGTAGTTAGTAAATTCGTTAACCTGATGTGTTTCTTGCCTCTTTCTAGTTGTCATCTTGTGTATCTAGCAATATAGGTAGAAATACCTGAGATAGTTTTAATCTCTGTTGCTTGGGTACCCTTAGCATTGAAACTGCAGCAGCATGGGATTCAGGCTGGGATGTCCAAGATCCTTGTTATAGACTTGGGCAGCTAACATACCCTGAAGTCCGAGTTACCACAACTTCACTATAATTTAAATCCACGTAGCTCAGGTTCCAGAGTTAAGGTCTGGATGCCAACATGTACTGCAATCATACCTCCAGTGTAAATGTAACCTAAATTGAGATTGTTCATGAATCTTTAGTATAGTGCTGCATCCTTTGTTCCTTCTTTGGCCCCTTCTAAATGCCAAATGTGAGTCAAGAGACCTCAAGAAGGAAAAGGGCAGCAGATGGCTGTCTAGATGCAACAGAATTTTAAAAAATATTATGGAAGGCAGAGGTTGATGTGGGTTTGAAAGTTTGTTCTGAATTTATTGGCTTCCAGCCTGTTCCAGAATTCAGAGTAGGTTATCTAGGTAAGCAGGCAGACATGCAAACAGAGGTAGTTATTTAGCTCTCCATGTGCAAAACAAAGGGAAGAGACTTTGCAAACTGGTACTCTGAGAGCAGCACTGGGCATTATATTTGGGGATGGCTTCCTAGCAATATTGTAAGAACAAACCCACCAGCAATAAAAACTTCTTTTAAATTTATACGCTGACATCTTGACAACTTCCATAATATACATTTCATTTTGGATTGAATGAAATGTTTCTTTGGACCCCACATGAATTCAATTTTCTTTTTACAAGGAAAAGAAAAGCAAATTTCATTTTGGGGTTGACCTGAAACAATGTGTGATTTCTTTTTTTGTAATGCAGCCCCACAACTGAAAACTGGCGCACAACCCTAATTCCAAAGCACTTCACAGACCGTGTGTGTAGGAAACACTTCACTTAGGGCATTTATACACATACTTTTGTGTCCTGCGACACACTGGAGATCTGCTGCTTTGGAGCAGACTCAATTAATCGAGTCTGCTCCACATGCAAGCTGAGGCTAACTGTGCTGCTCTGCGTGTAGTTGTATAAGCAGTGAAATACACGTCAGCGCACAGAAAATGGCTGCGGTGTGCTTTTGAACTAAAGCACTTCTGATGTGTTTTAATTCAAAAGCATGCCGCCACCATTTTTTCAGCACTGATCCACATTTCATCATTTTTATATAGTTGCAAGCAAGCATCACAGTGCCAGGCACTTGCATGTGTAAAAATGCACTTAGTGCTGAACAGACCCTGCTCTGGTAAGAACCACACAGTCAGCTGAAGCAATAACACCCATAGTGGGCACACCAACATGAGACATTTCCTGCAGAGCTGCCTAATTAGCTCTGCAGTAAAGTCTTAGTGCCTACACACGTGGCCCTATTAGGCCGCAGTAAACTAATAAACACCACTGTAGATTAGTACTTGTAATGCTGCCTCAGGATAGTGCTTGTGTTTATTTAGTGCACTGCAATGCACATGTAGACATTAGGCCTGTACGAACAGGGAAGTATTTGATTTGGATTTGCCCAGTTTGGAGGACAGTGATTCAATTTGGTGATTTGAATCACTGTCCCCATTTGATTTGGCTGAATCACAATTGGAGATTCAGCATTGATTCGGAGATTCTGATCCACCGGGGAGAAGCAGGCACAGCTGGGCAGCTGCAGGTTCTCCTGCGGCTCCTCTGGCTGTGTCTGCCTCTCCCCAGGTGTGGGGGGGAGTCACGGGAGAAGCCTCCATAGCTGCCCCACCCGGCCCCAGCTTCCTGGCACTTAATTTAAAAAAGAAAAGCCCCGCACCCAACAGCTGCAGCAGGAGCTATGGGGGCCCTGGGGCCATGTGGCAGAGGCCCCCCCCAGCCCCTGCTCTCCGATCTCAGCCCCAGTGGCTGCCCTGCCCAGCCCCAGCATCCCGGCAATTAAATACAATAATAATAATAATAAAAAAAGCCCTGCACTCACTGGCTGCAGCAGCGGTGATTGCAGCCTCTTGGGGCTCCTGGCAGAGCCCCCTGCACAGCGTGTGGCAGTGGGGAGGCAGCAGGGATCAAACCCCTGCCTGGCACCCACATGGCAGCTGCCCCATGGCACGGGTGCATTGCAGCTTGGCAGGGCGCTGCATGCTGTCTGGGAGCTGGGGCAAAGTGGTGCTGGGCTCTGGCTGACACATGGAGCCACCCTGGCTCCCAGCCAGCGTGCAGTACCCTGCTAAGCCATGCTGCACCCACGCCATAGGGCAGCTATGGCACAGGTGCCAGGTGGTGGGTCAATCCCTGCTGCCCCTCACTGCCCCACGCTGTGCAGGGGACTCTGCCATGAGCCCTCAGAGGCTCTGATCCATGCAGCCAGAGCTGGTGAGTGCAGGGCTTTTTTATAATTGCCTGGATGCTGGGGCTGGGGTTGGGGCTGGGTTGGGCA